GTGTGTGTGTGTGTGTGTGTGTGTGTGTGTGTGATGACAAAAGCTTCTGATGAATAAGTAAATGTGGAAATCTCCTCTCTCTTCCTTCCCTTCTCCTCCTTCCCTCGTCTCCTCCTCTTCTTCCAAAGATCAGAGGAGAGAATTCCCTCTGAAGTGACGCTCAGTGGAAGAAAGAGAAATACTTTGAGAAGAAGCAGGACTAATATAAATATGAGTTAGCTGAAGAAGCACAGCACTGTTTGCCAGAATAAATAAGGAACAGTTAGATTATAATCTTCTGACAGACTGTTCCTTGTCAGACACTTTGATAATGAAATCACTGCAGCGTGTTTATTAGTTTTTTAATTTCAATCTTAGTCTTGTTCGTCCCTGAGCTCCATCCATCCAATCCACACCAGTTTCCCTGTCGCTCCGTCATGTCCTTGTGACGACCATCGTATTTAACCACAGCATGTAAATCGAACGCATCACATTTTTACTGCTTCACTCTTAAGTCTTCAACGAGCTCAGAAGACGGACAGAGAAGACGAATGTCTTTGCCGTGATGCGGCTTAACTTCCCAAGGTCGGCATTGTCGTTCGCTCACATCGGAGGAGCTGCCAGCTGTAACGAGGCCCAAGTCCATCAAGAGGAAGAGCTGAACATTAAACCAATCATCTTTTTCACTTCAGCTGCTCCTGCCAGAAAAAATATTTGAGCGTTTCCAATTTGTCTGTTCTGATCTGCTCCCTCATCTGTAGTTCATTATTCAGATTGTGTCATCGAGGCTGCAACACACACAACAGAAACACTGTGTGTGTGTCTGAGGTTACTGAGGTCCGGTTTGGCAGATTTCTAGCGCCCACGTTTAGATTCACACCAGCTGCTCGGTGCTGGTGCACAACAAGAGAATAACTCACATTTATCTGCACAAAAATACAATGTGTCCACGAGGGAATGTCTCAGGCTCTGAACCACATTTAAGCCAAAGTTAAACATCCTTCAAACTTCTTTCTTTTATCACAGTAGGACTTCACTTTACTCTTACACAATTTACACAGAAGACAGTTTTAGCTGTTTTCAGACCCACAGTGAAGTCCAGACATACAGAGGCTGTATGTGAGGACACAAATGTCCAAGTCAGTTAAATGTCAATGATTCATAAGATGTCAAACCCTCGGTCGGCTGTCAGCGGCGTCATATCCTCCATGTTTGTGTTTGTATCTGTTGGTCGCCTGGATGTGAAATAATCACAGATCTGCTTTCAGCTCAGTAACGTTTCTGAAACAAGCTCATTCATTAGTGACCTCACTGGTTGTTTCACAGACCTCGAGGTTTATTTCTGTCCTGTTGATGAGGATTGTGGGTTTTTCTTGTGTAAACCTGTGTTTGGTCGTTTGTGTGTCTCCATTGCACATATTTGTCGTCTTTGTCATCTCCTGTCTTCTTGTTCTTGACTGTTAATGGACTGAATGAAACCAAAGTGTTTGTGTTACAGGACCTATGCACTGCGGAGGGTGCGTGATGCCTTCAGGGCCAACAGGAAAGTAGACGATCCAAAAACTGTGGCTCGACTGATGGAGGAGGGACAGCGGACAGTGGCCGTGATACAGAGACAGGTCTCTCTCACACACACACACACACACACACACACACACACACACACACAC